TGACACAGTACTGGCTGTATATCGCCTACTACTCACATTGAATTAACTTGATATCTACAGAGCTCTATAGAAAACTGAACCCGTGACGCCAACCAACGAATTGGCTTGTTTTGGCGCAGAGCTCTGCGGGGGTATCGCGGAGGGCTGTACGAGCAACCTCCATGGAGGAGCTCTGCAGAGCTGAGGGCTGAACGAGCAACCTCCATGGAGGAGCTCTGCAGAGCTCCTCCATGGAGCTAGCTCGTGCAGCCCCTTCTCTAACAGGCTGGTAAGTAGGTGCTTCAAATCTCTTTATTAGCCACAATACTAGAAGTTAATGTTGTTGTTGCCATTCTTCCTACCTACATGCATTATAATCCTCATTATCATATTAGGCTCACCTTTAAGCGGTACCCTGTTACTGAACTGGCGTCTTGTCATTAAGTCTTTACAACTACCATCGGCCATCCTTGTTATACAACGTTTGATTCAGCGGTATGTTCATCACCTGCATTTGAAATTTATTTTGGGTATGAGTAATTGTTATGTTCCAGATATTTTATTCATTGTACATGTACAATTCATACCGTTACTGAAACTGTATTTTTATTGAATTGAGTCACGAAATTAATGTTATGTTTTTTGTAAATCAAGAAAATGCTTAATACTAGTATTATGTACATTTACTAGTAGCTTCAAATCTCAGTTTATAATCAGTTGCTACATTTTTACACACCCCTAATCAAGATAAGCTTCAATATTAATCTGACCCATTCTACCCAGCATTTCATGATACAGCTATTGCAAGGAAGACTGCAGTTACATGTAAGTATGAAAACCTCATTCATTCATGGGCAGATGAAGCTATTCACGGTTCCTAGCCACTTGAGTGCACATGTACATACGTCGGATTCACCCAGAGATACGATTACTCATGAATGCTATGGAATAGATTACAATTGCCCAAATCTAAGCTACAGGCAAATGTCGATATCTTTAGAGTCACTTGTGATGGAAACAGGACAGTCAATTTACAGAACAAACTTTATATAGCTACTTATCATTAATGCTTATCGGCTTGTTTGATGTTACAGTAAGATTTGATTGCTGTTCTGGACTATGTGGCAAAACTGGCAATGAAGGCCCCAAATACAGATAAAAAATCTGAAAAAGTCACTTAACAAATTAAATAGACCAGACAAATTAGCTTTTTTAGCTGCTGTCTAAGGTATAGTCAAGATTAATAAACCATAATGCTTGGTTGTTGTCACTGCCTATATTCTTTATTTGTACCCAGATGTGTCTATTGATGAGTCCAGGCAGCAGGGCGGTCCGTCCAGCCTGGAGAGACTGAGGAATCCTTACTTCTGCACCACCTGCCAACAGGAGTTCTCCTTCACACATATATACTGAGATACTTACATTAAACGTAACTCAAACTCAATCTTGGTTCTACGACCTCTAGCTTTAGCTTTTGCGTCTTTGTGCAGGTACTAGTAATT